ATTTTCAGTTGTCTATTGCATCGACCACTCTGAATTTTTGGATTGTATATATATATATATATATATATATATATATATATATATATATATATATATATATATATATATATATATATATATATATATATATATATATATATATATATATATATATATATGAAATACTTCCCTGTCGCAAGTTTGATTAAAAATGATATCCCACACTAAGCCAGTGGAAATGTGTATAATATCACAATTAAGAATTCAAACATATTACATGAAACTATTAAACTATGTTATATGTAACTATTTAAAAGAAAGAAAAACTAGAAGGAAAGAGAACCAATTCTTTTTCAAAGGTCTAACATGTAACTCTTTGAATCTGATTTTACCATGATGTAGAGTCTTTAAAAAATCCTTTTTTTTTTTTTAAATAGAATGATTTTGAGTAAGAAGAAAATCGTAGAGATGCTCTTGTTTGTAAGAAAACCTGACTATCAAATCCATTATAAATATATAACGATTGTCTCTATTTTTTATGTCTGATCATCATCTGAGTCTGTTTTAATCCTTCATATCCTTTAAAGCCATACCATGTCGTGTAATTTTTACCAGACACACCAGACTGTCCGTACATTCCGTTAAGGTTTGAGTTGGTACAGGCTCTGTACCACCAGGCTCCGAGTCTGTCTTTAGCACAGTTAACAGTACTGTACCTGTCATTGTCCTGGAACTTGGTTGAAAATTTCATTCCATTGTGATAAGCCAAACTGTCATCTATATAACAGAGTATAATGATGAAAAACTTACTTATGATTCAAAAATTACCGTATGATTAATATATTCAAAATGAACATGTTAAGCTTGATGATAGTAAATCATCCTTGTATGTATCATATAACCCACCCTTAGTCTTTTTAAATATATTTGAAAACAAGTATATCTTCCCTTTATAATAATCTACAAATGTATATTTAACTTACAATATCAAAGATAATGATAAAAAAAGATCTGATTTCATGGATCAATGGCAAAGCAAACAGAAGATTCCTGGTTCAAAGTGTTTGTATCATGTTGTGTCATTGCATAAAATACTAGATCACCCAAAAATAGATAAAAGCTAACACATACTGCGATGGTGGCTCATTACTAATTAGCAATACAGAAATTGCATGGTTATGAACCCCATAGCTTGTAAAGGATTTAATAAGCTAAGGTTAAAAATCTAGTATGTATTGAGGAAATTAGTCAGAATACAAACTCGTGAGTGGTGAAAAAGTATAGATACCCTCTTTCTCTGTGTGCATCGTACATATGTTTTATACACTATCTGTATTTAACATCCTTGATATATTTTCATTTTACAATTATACATTCTTCCGTCTGCCATACCTTAATCACACAACTCACCCGCTGTTCCGCTGTATCCAGATACTGTCAGGTTATATTTATTGTCTTCATCTCCGATGTAGAATGTAGAGTACACAGCATAGGCCTGCTCTCCACTAAAACTCTGGAGATCAATTCGGAGTTCTTGGTTCCGATCCTTGGATAAAGAGTGGATTGCGTCATTTCCTATATACAAAGATTACCCTTATTAGAACTTGTGTAAATTTTCCTTGTATAGGCTCTAGTAACTTTGTTCTATTTTAGGTTCTGTATACATAAAGTTAAACAACAAGAAGCCGATGGGCCTCATAGGTCACCTGAGCATCTTGCAACAACTTTCAAGTGATTGAATTTACTACATGTTTTAAAGTAGATGCTACATGGCATTCACAATTTTGAAAGAGGCACCATTGCTCATCATAACTATACACTTTTTTTAACATATATTTCCTAGACTTATACACTTAGCAATTGCTAAGTTTGGTTACTTAATATCCATAGGCAGGGTAGGGAAACATAAATGCATTTCAACTAATCAGTGATATTCAGCAATAATCAGTAGTGCTCTAACACTGTGATTTAAACCCCTGACCCTAGGTCCACACATTGCACAATTTTTAAAAAAGCACCCTTGCTTATCAAAAAATAATGTTTGATTAATGAAAAGGAGCTCATTTTAAACAAATAATTCATTTTCAGTATATAAGTAGATCCCCCCTGGTACCCTTGACCCTGGGGCCTTGAAATTCACAATCCTGGAGAAAGGGTCCTTGCTCATCATAACTATATAGGTAGTTCATCTGGTTAATACCCAGGGGGAGCAGAGAAGAAAATTTTTAAAAAATTAATGTATTTTCACTATATAATCATTTAGAGCGCCGCCCTACCACCAGAATCCCTGAGCCTCAGGAGCCATGAAATTCACAATTTTGGTAGAATCATTCTTGCCCATTATAACTACATGTATTTACTTAAGTAGTTTATTTAATACCCAGGGGCAGAGAAGAAGAATTTCGAAAAAATAAATTCTTTTTTACTATGTAATCAATACAGCCCCCCCCCCTCCCCCAACACTAGAACCCCAGACCCTGAGGCCATGAAATTCATAATATTGGAAGATGCACTCTTGCCCATCATAACTATGTTTTAATTAGTTTATTTAATATCTAGAAGAAGAGAAAAAGATTTTCAAAGAATTAATGCATTTTCACTATGTAATAAATAGAGCCTCCCCCCCTCCCCAACACCAGAAACTCTTACCCTGGGGTCATACATCTCACAATAATGGAATAGGCACTATTGCTCATCATACCTTTGAACTTACTTATATCCAATACCTAGCAAAAGTGAAGAAGACTTTCAAAGAATTAATGTATTTTCACTACATAATCAATAGAGCCCCGCCCTAACACCAGAACCCTTGACCCTAAGGCCACAAAATTCAAAATTTTGAAAGATGCACTCTTGCCCATCATACATGTAACTGTGTACTTAAATAGTTTATATTGTCCAATTTCAGAGAAGAAGACTTTAAAAGATTTACTTTATTTTCACTATATAATCAATAGAGCCCCGCCCTAACACCAGAACCCTTGACCCTAAGGCCACAAAATTCAAAATTTTGAAAGATGCACTCTTGCACATCATACATGTAACTGTGTACTTAATTAGTTTATATTGTCCAGTGTCAGAGAAGAAGACTTTCAAAGATTTACTTTATTTTCACTATATAATCAATAGAGCCCCGCCCTAACACCAGAACCCTTGACCCTAAGGCCACAAAATTCAAAATTTTGAAAGATGCACTCTTGCCCATCATACATGTAACTGTGTACTTAAATAGTTTATATTGTCCAGTTTCAGAGAAAAAGACTTTCAAAGATTTACTTTACTTTCACTATATAATCAATAGAGCCCCGCCCTAACACCAGAACCCTTGACCCTAAGGCCACAAAATTCAAAATTTTGAAAGATGCACTCTTGCCCATCATACATGTAACTGTGTACTTAAATAGTTTATATTGTCCAGTTTCAGAGAAGAAGACTTTCAAAGATTTACTTTATTTTCACTATATAATCAATAGAGCCCCGCCCTAACACCAGAACCCTTGACCCTAAGGCCACAAAATTCAAAATTTTGAAAGATGCACTCTTGCCCATTATAACTTTATACTTAATTAGTTTATTTAATACCCAGCAGCTGAGAAGAAGATTTTCAAAGAATTAATGCATTTTCACTATATAATCGATAGAGTCGCACCCTAACACCAGAACCCCTGACCCTGGGGCCATAAAATTCACAATTTTGGAAGAGGCGCTCTTGCCCATCATAACTCTGTTTTTAGATAGTTTATTCAATACCCAGGAGCAGGGAAGAAGATTTTTGAAAGAATTAATGCATTTTCACTATATGATCAATAGAGCCCCACCCCGTACACCAGAACCCCTGAGCCTGGGGCCATAAAATTCACAATTTTGTAACAAGCAGCCTTATTTCTTTATTGAATGCCCAGGAGCTGAGAAGAAGATTTAAAAAAAAATAATGCATTAACACTATATGATCTTTGGTCTATATAGCCCCACCTTAGCACTTGAACCCCGGACCCCGGGGCCATGAATTTCACAAATTTGGTAGAGGACTCAATGCTGATTACAATCATGCAAACAGTTTGACTGCTTGGTGTCCAAAAGTAAAGAAGAAGATTTTTAAAGATTGCATCAATTTTAGTGGTTTTGGCCCCGCCCCTCAGGCCGCAGGGGAAAAGGGACCATGAAATTCATAATTTTTGTTCCGTTCCCCTTAACCCATAGAAGCTTTATGCCAAAATTGTTTGAAATTGGTTGAGTGGTTTCAGAGAAGAAGCTGAAAATGTTCAAATGTTAACGTACAACGCACAACGCACGACGACGGACGAAAACGGATAGCAATAGGTCATCTGAGTTTACTCAGGTGACCTAAAAACTCGGTCATTGGTACGCAAAGAAGTATTGACGAAAGTTAGTATATTTTTCTTACTTGAACCGTACCGGTATTTATATTGCATTAAAAGTAGAGGTTGAAATGTTCCATACATACCTAACCAGTAGTTTTTAGAGGCATTTCCAAACCCCTCTTTGTACTCGTTCCATGTCCTATAGAAATCCAAGTCGCCATCTTCTCTTTTCTGAATTGTCTGTAAACAACATTCATTTTTTTTTTTACATTGTTTATATAGGTACTTGTCATAAATATTAAAAAGGAATAAATTGATCACTACATTTATCTATCTTATATAAATTTCTTGTAGAGTGGAAGAATATCTGCATTTCGCCACTCTTTGGTTATCTAGAGTGACTGGAGGAAAAAAAAGTATTTTATTTTTTGGAACACAGTATATTAACAATTTGTCGTATTCTTATTTTGTTCAGATAACTGAAAAGGATTGTGTTCATTTTGTCCATAAATGGAAACATGCATACGTTTGTTTATTTTAACAAGCTTTGACAACGGGATTCATAAAATTCAATATTTGTTTCTTATATTCATTTTCGAATTTCGGAAATCACTACTAAAGAACATTTTATTCACAATTTGTAAATTATTTAAGAATTAAACCACTACAAACCGTCCACCCTCCTCCATCTGTCGTCATGTCATAGAAAACCTCTCTCAGAGTGTCAACGAAAATAACGTAAACTCCATCTTGTCCTTTTTTACTGGGGTCTCCATTCAAAATATCGGAACAATTCTTGTATCTTTTCTCTATTTAAAGTATGAAATATAATTAATGTTGATAAGGTACAATATTTAAGCTCACAAACACAGATTTGTAAACATCAGGGGTGGGATCAGGTGACAAGGAGGAAATTTTCAAAATCAAATGTCAGTTTTGAATATTTTTAATATTCCCAACAACCAACATGAATTTGAATTACCATATCTATATTGGATTAAAATAAACAAGAGGTGTATGGGCCTTATAAGTCACCATAGCATCATGCACAAAGTTTCAAATAATTTAATTAGGTTCTTGTTTTAAGCTAGATGCTATACCATTCACAATTTTCAAAGAGGTGCCATTGCTTATCATAACTATACACTTAGCAATCGCTCTATATCCATAGACAGGGAAAGGGAACAAAAATGCATTTCAATAAATCAGTAATATATTCAGACTTTTGTACAACATCAAATCAATCATTCCTTCTTTGAAAAAGTACACAAATGGCAGATTTAGGAAGAAAACAACCTTCATTAGGGATTATTAAATAAGTATTATTAGGCCTAATAAATTCAAAACACATTTCCTACAAATTATTTGAGGTAATATCTTACCTTTTAAAACCAGTACACATTTACCACCAATACAAATGTCATACTCAGTACAGACGTTGTTTAAGCAAGAGCCTGCCAAGTGCTGAAGTAAAATCAACCCAAAATTGTGATTCCTTAAATATACCATCATTTAATTAAAAAAAATAAATTGGTTTTTATGAAAATGTTTAAGATCATTTCTTACCACAGGAAACTCCTCCTTTTCGACATGAAAGGTTGGGCATTTAGATATTAGACTGTTGTCATTCTTGATGACGAATCTTGAGTTTAGCCGGCATGTTTTTTCTTCTTGTATCCAATCCACTGAGCGACACAATTTAAACTTAAAACAAACCATCATGCACATTGAAATATTAGAATTTCTCAAAAGGTTAAAACCTGGAAGTGAGGAATTTTCATAATTGCTAACGAGCAATGTTTTGGGGTCGAATGGGTCGAAACATTGGGAGTAGCATGTCTGTAACAGAACTAGAAATTGTCCAATTCGGTAGGGACTGATCATCGCAAGACTTTTAAAGCAGTCTTTTTAAAACGATATATTTGTCAAATTAAACGCTGGGCTCTATAAAGGCAGTCAACTGCTTCCAATGTCTTTATTTCTGTAAAATATATTGCAGTCGTTAAGGTTTGACTATTTATCATTGATGAGCTCCCACGTGATCGTTTCTATATTTGTCTTGTTCAATAGTTACAGTATTGTCGATTTATAAATCATTTGCGTAAATATTAAAAACAGTATTAGGCGGTAAACGTGGAAGGACGGGGGTATGAGTTTTTTCTTTATTTTTTAGGGAATTATTGACCTATGACGTATGTTCTAAGTGTATTGAACCAATAGTGATATGATGTTTGAATATTTCAAATCCTGACTATCCAGTTAGATTACTGTATATGTATTATATTTAGCGTGTACAATATTTGGCGGAAATTGATGTTTTTAACGAGTTAGCGTAAATTTGATTTAGCGCATTTCTTAATGTTCTTATTAATGTATATATGTACAAGGCATTAAGCAGTGTACTTGATTTAGCGGAAGTTCCTTCTCGCCATGAGCGCTAAAACGAATACACAGCCAAATTTAATACGTTTATAGTATTTTCAAGCAAGACAAAACATTAAAACTAGCCGTTGCCGAAAGAAGGAACAAAAACAAAATAAAACAAAACCAAAAAAAAAAAAAAAAATCCCTATAAATAATGGTTGTATGTATATGGCATTCTAAAACCATGTAAGCAATGAAGAGAAATATCTTTCTAGCAAGTGTTATTTATTTCTTATCACATTCGTGAAGATGATAATGCCGTGAGGTAAACCTATGTTTTATCCACGGGTAGATGCTTTACCAAAAGCACTTCCGGTTTTGACACTATCCCTAAAGGTACCCTATGAATGTATCCCTTTATTATCTTTATAGCTTGTCGAGGAATCTTTTACGTGGTACAATTTAATACATGCCTACATGAACTGATTTGATGTAACCCCCACCCCCACCCTTCCCTGAAATTGCTTTCCACATGCATGTCATTAGTCCAAAAAATCTGACGTTCTCCTGGCATGTAAAATATAAAAATCGTAAAAATTCCAGGAAAACGTCATATTTTTTGGACTAGCATGTCATCTGTTCAATATTTACATACGTTTCTTAACTTTGTGAGAATCACCTAATTACACTGGATTTTTATTTATATTCAGTTTTTTTTCCTCAAAATAATCTCCTTTAAATTATTATAGTGATCCAACAATCTGCTTTGTTTGTCACGACAGCTGAAATGTATGACCTTTGTTTTAATTTCACCCATGTTCACAGCAATATTTCTTGATTGCATTTGATGCTTAGACAAAATTGTCTGAACTCACCTGGTGCACTTTAAAGGTTAACATGTAGTTATATTTCAGATTGACTATATCACTTTTGGACAGATACATAGCAGCTGAAATGTTGATAACAAAACTCTGGGGCCTGGTTCAATCGTTAACATTTGAAGACATTTGCTCCGGACTTTTAAACGGCGCAACATATTATTGTCCCCCGCTTTCGCAAAAGCGAGGGGACATTAAATCTGATTCGTCTGTCCGTCTGTCCTTCACAAAAACTTATACCTTCGTTCATAACTTTTGATTAAGTGGAGCTATAACTTTCATATTTCACATGTGTATTCCTGGTTACATCGCCTTTCTTTGGGTCACACTAAATTTGACCTTGGAGTTTGACCCAACTTTACACCAAAAATCAGAACTTTTACTTTGGCCATTACTTTTGAATGGTATATACTAGGACTTTCATATTTACATATATATTTTTGTGGTAAGACCTTTCATTGGATACTAACAATCTTGACCTATTGACCCCAGAGATTTATGTACATGTAAAAAACTTTAACCTTGGCCATAAGGGCTTTCATACTTTACATATGTAATCAAAATGTAGAGAGCTTTCATTAGATATGAAGAACTTTGACCTTTTGACCTTGACGTTGGAGTTTGACAAACTTTAAAAAGACATACTCTAACTATTACTTTTTAAAGGGTTAGGGCTAGAGCATTCATACTGCATATATTTATTCCCTGTGACAAGATCTTTCACTGGATATAAAAAAAATTACCCTTTGACCTACTTTTTAAAAACTTTAACATGGGCCATAATTTTTGAATGTTATATATATACTTGGAATTTTTTTTTATTTCACATATACATTGTCTGTGGCACGACCAACATCTTTGACCTGTTGACCTTGGAGATTTTCGTACTTGTGAAAAACTTTAACCTTGGGCATACCTTTTAAACGGTAAGAGATAAAGATTTCATACTTTATATATGTAATCAATGTGAAAAGACATTTCATCGGATATAAAGAAGTTTTACCTTGACGTTGAAGTTTGAACTACTTTCAAAAACATACTTTGATCATAAGTTTTGATTGATTGATTGTATACTGTTTACCGTCCCTCTCCAGAATATTTCACTGATATGGAGACGTCACCATTGCCGGTGAAGGGCTGTAAATTTAGGCCAATGCTCGGCACTTACGGCCTTTGAGCAGGGAGGGATCTTTATCGTGCCCAATCTAATTAAAATTAGATCCTTTACGCTCCTTTATTTTGTTATGTCACAGCGACATAACAAAATAAAGGAGCGTAAAGGATCTAATTTTAATTAGATTGTATCGTGCCATACCTGCTGTGACACGGGGCCTCGGTTTATACGGTCACATCCGAAGGACAGCTCCATTTAGTCTCCTTTTACGACAAGCAAGGGGGTACTGATGACCTATTCTAACCCGGATCCCCATGGGGCCCATTTAGTCGCCTTTTACGACAAGCAAGGGGGTACTGAGGACCTATTCTAACCCAGATAACTTTAGAAGGGTTAGGACTAGTGCATTCATATTGCATATATTTATTCCTTGTGACACATATGTATATATATATACTAGGACTTTTATATTTCACAGATACATTTTTTTTTGTGACAAGACTTTTTATTGAATATGAACAACTTTGACATGTTGACCTTGGAGATATCAGTACTTGTGAAAAAAAAACTTTAATTTTTACCATAATTTTTGAATAGTAAGGGTTGAGGCTTTCATACTTCAAATAATATTTCACTTGTGCAAAGACCTTTTCATTAGATACCATGAACTTTGACCCTTTGACCTTGGAGTGTAACCTACTTTTCAAAACAAACCCTGACCATAACTTTCAAAGGGCTAGGGCTTGTGCTTTCATGTTTCAAATATTTAATCCCTGTGACAAGGCCTTTCATTGGATATCATGAATGACCTTGACCTTCTTGTAATAATATATTAAATTGCATTTAAGAAAAGTTTATTTTTCGTTATGTTGCCACAAACACATCTTGTTCCTTATATTGAAAACAAATACAGCTTTCATAGGAATTGTGTGACAATATATTTCCAAGCATGCTATGATTTGTTACCCATTGACATTGACCTTCACGATTGAACTTATTTTTAAAAAAAATCAACTTCAGTGATATTTTCTAATAGACAAATGATAAGGCGTTCATTTATTTGAGACAATTTGTAATAAAAAAGTGACAACTCACAAAGACGCCGCAAGCGGGGGGACCACAATATTCTTTGAATTTGCTTGTTAAACTATTTCAATTGATTATTAGAGAAAAATTGAAAATATTCTCTATGAACACGAACCTTTGGAAACCTCAACGATGAGTGGTATTATTTATTTCTATTTTAATAAATAGACCTCTGTCAATGAATGCAAGACAATATAAATGATTATCAATACTTGTCACTAGGCTTAACTTTCTAGAAACGCGTGTCGCATGTTATC